GAATTGATAAAAAATGGTGTTTGAATACATACATTACACGATATTACTCTTTTCTCACTTTGCTTAGATAATTTGATTATATTTAGTTTTCTGTAGTATTGTCAACACATAAAATCTATCACTATAATCCATATTTATAATAAAATCTAAATAACTCTAACGAACAAACCTCTTTTCAGAAAGTGACACGTCCACACTTGCATGTGTTTCACCTTCAACTTGCTTCCACCCGTCCCTTGTAGCGATGGCGAGAACGCTTGAGTCTTACCAGTAAGGTTAGACATGACCTTCTTAGGAAATTAATTTTCCCCAACAACGATTGAAGTTGCTTTTTGGTTGAAGGAGATTTCGTTTCCATGATTGCCTTCATTTTATTTTGATTTATTTTTTTATGCCCTTCTTATGGACAATGAAACCCATAAAATCTTCTTGTTGTACACAAGATGCAAATTTAAGAGGATTCATTTTAAGTTCATAATTTCTCATCCTTTCGAATGATTGTCGAAGATGGTCTAGATTACCACGTTCTAACACAAACTTAATGATTAAATCATCAATATAAATTTTCATAAAGGTTTCAATATAGTCATGAAAAATAGATTTCATTACCCTTTAATAGGTAGCCCTAACATTTTTCAAACCGAATGACACCACTACCCACTCATAGGTGTCTAAAGCTCCTGGGAAATAAAATGTCATTTATGGCACATCCTTATATGCAATAAAGATTTAGTTAGAACTAGAATAACCATCAAGCATGCTTAAGTATTTGAAACATTTTGATGAATCAATCAACATTTCGGAGACATGCATAAGGTATTCATCCTTTGGGATCACAACATTTAGATCTCTAAAATCTATGCAAACTATCAAAGTTCCATTCTTCTTAATGACTGGACTATATTTGTAAGCCATTCGACTTACCTGGCTGTCCTGATTCATCCATATAACACTAATCCCAATGGAGACGATATAATATAACCTATATCAAAATAAATACTTACTTTTGCTTGCCGCTTTACCGCTCTAACTAGTTGAAATTGGCTAAACAAAAAGGTTATACCGCTTTAAGTACCGGAACCCAGTGCAAATAAAGAGTATCAAATTCATTAACCAGTCGCCTTTCTATGAGTATGTATTAATAACGTTCTTAGTGTGATTGCGCATGAATGAAAAAGGACGAAAATTGAGATGAGTAAGTTTGGACTAAACATAATGGCATGATGCAGATTGGTTTGTATAGGAAGGAGACTTATGATCGTAAATACATAATGTGTTGTTACGATATCCTTAGTTTTCGAGTTAGTACCTATCGATACAACCATGTCCAAAGCAAAGTCTATAGCCTAGAATAATTATCTGAGCACCACTGTTTTTCTTGTTAGCACATGTTTTGCTTGAGGACAATCAAATGTTCAAGTGTGGGAGAGTTTGATAAAGCTAAAACATATTGTATATTTGACTCAATTTGTGCATGTTTTATTAGTTATTTTACCTCTATTTCCAGTGTTATGTTGGAAGTTTGTCTGTATTTCTTGAGACAATTCGTAGTTGGGCTTGGACCCTAGATCCACCCTACTCTTTTCTTTCTTTTGACACCCCCCTCTTCCTCTTATTTTTTCAATTTTGAAACTTTGCTGGAAATTAAAAATAGTTTACATTCTTGGCTTAAAAATCCAATTTTGGTCCCCATTTTTAAATATTTTCAACGTTTTAGTCCTTCTTTAAAAAAAAACCATCTTTTTTATCTTTGTATTATACTTTTTCGGTTTTTTTAGTCCCCCTCCACTTTTGTGGATGTGACACCTAAAAAGCTGACGTGGCCCAAAATATGTGGCACCGCGTCATTAAAAATATTTAAAAATTAAAATTTTATCATTTTATTTTTAAAATTATATTTATTAATATTTTTAATAATTAAATTTTTTTGATAATTTCATTAATTTTATTTTATAAATAATTTTATTTTAGAAATTTATCAATATTTTAAATAATTAATACAAAATAATTAAATGTTTTTGATAATTTCATTAATTTTAGTTTTGAAATAATTTAATTTAAGAAATTTTAAATTATAAAATCTAGACTTATAGCCCATGTACTTTACATCAGTAGCCCAATTCTAAAGTTTTAATAAGACATGAGTGAAAGAGTTTTATAAACCATTTCATGTGTTGTTTAAAATTCAATGTGGGACATTCATGTTGTTTACAAGAAACAACCACAACCATCAAAACCAATATGTCATGAAAAGAGTGTCCTACAACTACAAGCTAAGGACTAAACAAGCTAATATGTGTTACCTCTTGATCAACCTCTTGGTCTTGGCTACCACCACCATAACACTAAATTTGAAAGTGAGTTCTCTTTCAAGGGTTGCAACTTTTTAACAATAAACATTTATTTCCCTGCAAAACAGAAGAATATGGAAAAACGTATAAAATGAAATGATTAAACTAATATCTTAGGCTAACATGTGAAACTTTCATGAGATAATGAAAACACAAAATATTATACCTTTGGACTTTTTGTTAACATGATGCAAAGTTTATACCTCTTGCTTTTTCCTAAATTTAACACAACCGCTGAAGATGTAGTGGAACTATTTGGTTTAATGATTGATGAAGGTCTTATGCCATATGAAGTAGCCGTCTCGATAACACTGAAGGTTTTATCTGTTACTGCATTGTTTTGCACTGAAATCTGAAACTTTCTCATCAGATTTTCGAGATTATTCAAACACCAAATGCTATTAATAGGATGTAGTAACACCAGCCTGATTTAGTCATAATGTTCATCCAAATGGCTACATTTTTCATGCATGGTGGATCTTTTATGTCGTCCAGGACTTCCACAAACAATATTCCCTTCAATTTCAATCTAAATCTAATAATAAAACTACAACAAAGCTCATTGAAGATGTGGAAAGAGAAACTGAACATATGAACCTTAAAGTATACAAACAATACTTCACAAAAGCGTTTGGAAGATGCGCAAGCTGGACATGTGAGCAATTGGTCCCACATCAAATTTTCAACAGAAGAGTTAAGATATTTTAACATGCCACCCCCAAATTCATACATGGCGCCCCCTGAAATTTCATAATGGCCAAAATGCCCCTGGTGATGAAATAAAAGAGTATTCCGAACTAAATTTCTGGTAGAACATTGAAAATTTCAGTAAATTCGAAATTTATGGTAGTTCTAAATGAAAGTTCTGGTACGCTACAAATAATTCCGAAAATTTTAATATTTTCGGCAACATACCGTAAATTTAGTTAAATTTGAAATTTCCGGTAGGTTATAAAAAACTATTTTATCCAACGATTATGATTTTTCCGACAATTTTGTAGGATTGTGATTACACCGATAATTTTTTATGGTTCAAAACACACTGAAAGTAGTATAAATAGGGGTCACTTGTTGTTGAGAAATAATCAGAATTGTAAAATACCTCTTCCTCTATTTTTTGTTGATGTAGTAGTGCACTTCACTAGAGTACAAGATCCTATGAAGTTTCAGATTCCGGACAGGTTTCTGGTCCTTGAGTCACTGACGAAAAAGTTGGAAGAATTGTTGTCTGATACTGATAATAGAAGGGTGAGGAAGATTTCATACCATGACTAGGCACCTCCTCCACAGGTACCTCAACATCAACATGCACCTCAACATCAGTAGAGGCAACTCAAAATCACCAGTAGGAAACTTAACAGTCTCAGGAGGTACCTCAATAGTATCAGGGACGAGCACTTCCACAACAACAAGTACATCCACAACAACATGCACCTCCACAGCAACATGCACCTCCACGGCAATAGGTACCTCGTCAGCAATAACCTCTGTACCAACTCGATGTTTGGGTGCACAAAACTGGTCTTGCACCTTCTCTGTCATCTATTTCCAGTGTGAACTAGTCAGAACAAACTCGTCCAACCCGGAGTTGGGATGCCTTTACCTGCTCAGCCATGGCCTGGGCGACATCTATGTCGGTCCTCTTGCCCCTAATGGTCCCGTCTTTTCCTAAGGTCCTTACAAAAAATATAAAAAAATGGAAAAAAATAGAAAAAATAGAGAAAAAAAAATGGTAACTACCAAAAATTTGTAAATTTATGGAAAATTTCAAAAAAAAATATGACAAATCGGAAATCTCGAAATGTCCGGTAGATATTAACGGAAATTTGGAAAATTTTCAAAATTTCTAGTACAGTATACCGGAAAAGTCCAAAATTTCTAGTACAAAACTTATTTGTTCAACAGAATTTCCGGTATCAACCGCGAATTTTCCGGTGTCGCATATGAAATTTTTGTTATCACAATTTTTTTCTTTCAAAAATGGCAGTATGCAGAAGAAAATTTTGAAAAGGAACAAAAATCCAACAAGGCTATTATAGTCTTTTTGTCACAAATTAGGGGGTGACATGTTAAAACCCCGAGAGTTAAGTGTTTATAATGTTTTTTTACACTAGGCTCGATGAATAATTGGAATTGGACTACTCTAGTAAAGAATATGGGCTATAGGCCCAGATTTTATATTTTAAAATTTCAAAAATAAAATGAAATAATAGAATTTTAATTTTTCAATATTTTTAATGACATGGCGCCATATATTATGGGCCGCGTCATCTTTTTAGGTGCCACATCCACAAAAGTGGAGGGGGACTAAAAAAACCCAAAAAAAGATGGGGTTTTTTAGTGAAGAATAGACCACATAAAGAGGATGAACATCATCATCTTAAATGAAAGAATCAAGCTAGGAGTGATAACTTCATCTTGTTAACTCAACTGATTCTATCAGAGTTCTTGGTAGCATCATACAAACATCACAACATCGTTGCAATCACTATGGAAAAATGGGTTCAAGTAAGGAGAGGCAGGAGACAGTAGGAGGAGAGGAAAAATACATGGGATACTAGTAAAGGAATAGATAAAAATGAGAGAGATTCAAAAGCAACAACCGTATTCTTCTTCACAGCGACACCCGAAGACTTTGGAGCAAAACAAATGTATCTGATATTCAAGGAATATGGTGAGATCGACAAAGTCATCATACCACCAAGAAGGGATAAGAGTGGAAAGAGGTGCGGGTTTGAAAGGTTATTCATTGTAACTGATGAAAAAATGATAGCAATCAGACTTGACAACATCATCATTGGCTCACAAAAAATCTACGCTGACATACTGAGGTTTAGCCGAAACAATATGGGTGATACAGGTGGAGGAAAGATACAAACACACAAAATCAACAAGCTCCTGGAGTGGAGGCGCGGTGTAATAGGGTTAACAACTTGAACAACAAGGAAAAATGAGGTAGAAGGAAGACGTATGCCCACAGGCTTTGGAAAACCAGAATACAAGAAATGTAGTAGACAATTTAACACACACAAAAAATATTTCATTTGCACACCTAGAGTATAATATGGAAGAAGAAGACTTGGTAAGGTTTCAGAAAGAATTTGTTGGCATGGTAGAGAACCCTGAAATTACGTATAACATACCAGAATATTTAAATAAGGAGGGTTACTTTGGAGTGCAAGTTACACCATTATGGGCTAACCTCTGCTTACTCGAAGAAGACGAAGAAGGGGAATTGAAAGCGTTAATTGATGAGACAACAGACTAGATCAAACAGTGGCTTGTTGAGATTAGGCCATAGAGACCGCATGACATAGAGAACGAAAGGTTAACTTGGTTAAGAATATATGGACTGCCATGCCATGCTTGGAATCCAAAGTAGTTCAAATGTTTGTCAAAAACTATTGGTTTTTATGTTTGCTCAGATGCAGAAATAACTAAACATTCAAACATGGACATTACACGTATCCTTGTAAGGACAAAGTACTGTATGGTGTTAAATAAGCCATACAATATTTCAATCAACAAGGACATTTTTAAGATCAAGGTCGTGGAGGATTCTCATGGCCCCATAAGAATAACAACAAGAAGCACTTGAATAGTATCTTTTGGGAGCAATGAATCTTGGCGAAGTTATGAAGATGAAGGTTGTGGTTGGAACGTCAACCCAGAAGCAGAGGCCCACGGAGACTCCTTTGTCCAACAGTCAAAAACTAATACCATCGAAAAAAGTGAAGGATGGAGTAAACAAATGGAAGAAACACTAAATTCTCTGCAAAAGGGGCAGGCGGTGCAACAGATATGTGAAGGGATGTTTCAAAAGGAGCTGGAAAAGGAAAAGTATGCCTCTGATGTTAACTGTCTTGAGTTTACAGAAAAATACCATCATTACCGAAAGTCAATTCTAGAGGGTCTGATACTTTACAGTTTTGTGACAGGGAATTGGGAAATTTTCACTTAAGGGACCAGAAGCTTTTTCAGATGTAGGGGTTGGCTATTGGACCAAAAGAAAAAAGAAGAAAAAAAAATCCAAAGTCCAACTTTTTAGGACCAACAAAGCCCAAAGCGTTGGGGATGGGTTGCGTGATATCGTTGTATGTTCTTTCAAGGAACGCAAGGCTCTTAACACCTCTATCAACACTAATGTCGTAGTTACCTTACCCAATGATCCCCAAGATTTCCAGATTTCAAAATCTTCTTTCTCGATACTAAGCCGTCCACAACCAAAGGGGATAACTTGCAGCAACGCTATTACGTTAAAATCAACATTACTAAAGGAACAATCCTCAAAATCCTCGAAAGGAACTGTCATTTGTAGCAATTTATCTCAGTGTAATGGGCGAACAAAGGAAAATCTGGAAGCGAATTTGGCTGTAAAGGTTTGGAAGGAAGTCACTCAATTAGGAATTTTAGGGGGGCGTGAGGGATGAAATGTTCATGAAGGAAATTAGGGGAATGGAATTCCAAGACACGGAAGGGATGGAGTCAAAGAAGGCGGAAAAAACACTGTTGTGGTGAATATAGTCTCACTAAACATTAGAGGATGTGGCATTTCTTTGAAGCCAAGAAGGTTGAACCAGATCATAAATAAGGGGCAACTAAGGACTCGGAGGGAGCTTCAGGGGGGATTCTCATCATGTGGAAGCTTGGGGTGGTGGCACCTTTGTTCAACTTCAGAATAGAAGGTTCAATTGGTATATGCGCTTATTATAAAGGTCAGTTGTGCTACTTTGTCAATGCATACTCATCTTATATGTTAGAGAGGAAACACATGTTGTGGTCAGAATTGGTGAAACTAAAAAATAGTTATGGCCCAGGCTAGTGGTGCATGGGTGGGGACTTCAACATAATTAGAGAGAAGGGGGAAAGAGTGTGTAGGAACAGAGAGTCTAGATCCACTGATATTATCTAATTCAATGAATTAATCGATTTCATGGAACTGGTGGACGTACCGGAAATTGGCAATAAATTTACTTGGTCTAATAAAGAAGGTAGCATGAGGAGCGTGTTAGATAGGTTCATGCTATTTGAATCATTAATTGACAATTGGAATATTATTGGTCAGAATACGGGTGATAAAGATATTTCTGGTCACTCTCCATTTGGTTAAAAGCTAATGAGTTGGATTGGGGACCAAAGCCCTTTAGGGTGAATACTTGTTGGTTTAAAAACAAGGATTTTAAAGGATTCGTGGAGAAGGTTTGGAGGTCTTCTGTGGTTGTTGGCAAGCAGATGTTTGTCATGAAAGAAAATTTCAGAATAATGAGGAACAAGATGAGGGTATGGAACAAGGAGTGTTTTTCTTGGATTGATCTCAAGATGGAGGAGGCGGTGTTAAAGCGTAGATAGTGTGATGAGACTGATCTAGAAGATGCAGAAATTATTTCAAACTTCTGGCTTCAACAAGAAAGGAAGTTGTTGACATTTTTTGGAAACATATTAATATTAAAAAGAGTATGCTGAAATAAAAGTCAAGGCAAAAGAGGTTAAACGAGCAGGATCAAAACACAAGGTACTTTCATTCAGTGATCAAAGGAAGAAGGAGAATGAACTCTATCATTTCGGTCAAAAATAGTCAGGGGGAATGTATTGAAGACATTATAGGAATTCAGGCTGAAATTCTTAATGTGTTCAAAAGCAGATTTATGGAGGAACTGAAGGAAAGACCCGTGTTTGAAGAACTGAGGTTCAATCAAATATCAGATGGGGAGAAATCTCTTTTGGAGGCTGAATTCACGAGTGAGGAGATTAGGGTTGCGGTGTGGGATTCAGATGTTGAGAAAAGTCTCGGACCCGATGGAATCAATTTCAGGTTTCTTCAAGAATTTTGGAATCTCCTTGAGGAAGATGTTTCAATTTTTTTTAGTTTCACATAAATGCTTCTCTTCCTAAAGGAATAACAACATCATTTATTGCATTGATTCCAAAAAATTCCAATCCTCATGGTCTCAAAGAATACCGACCTATTTGCTTAGTTGGTTGTTTGTATAAAATTCTGGCAAAATTGCTTGCGAATATAATCAAAACAATTTTGAAAGGGTTAATCTTAACATGACAAAATATTTTTGTAACAGGTAGACATAGTTTGGATAGAGTGCTGGCCTTGAATGAAATCATTGATCATGCTAGAAAAGAGAAGAAGGAATGTTTCATCCTTAAGGTGGATTTTCAGCAAGCATACGACTGCATCAATTGGAACTTTCTGAGAAGTATGTTGCAGATTTTTGGATTTGGATATTTATGGTGTAGATGTATGGAATCTTGCATATTTAATAGCTCCAAATAAAATCTAGTAAATGGAAGTCAAACTGACGATTTTTGGGTGGAAAGGGGTCTGCAACAAGGTGACCCTTATCATCTTTTTTGTTCCCTTTGGTGGCTGAAGGGTTGGTAGCTTTAGTACAAAAAGCTGCGAATGATGAAAGGTTTGAGGGGTATAAGGTGAATGGTGTTTTGGAAATCAAGCTTCTTTAATTTGAAGACGACATGATTCTTGTAAGGAAGGGTTGTTGGAATAACTTATGGAGTATTAAGGCCATTTTCAAGGGGTTCGAATTAGTATCAGGACATAAAGTTAACTTTTATAAAAGAAATATTTACGGGGTGAACAATGATGAGAGCTTCATGGAAACCGCATCCCATTTCCTTTGTTGTTTTAGAGATAACTTGCCTTTCAAGTTATTAGGGATACAGGTTGGATCAAATCCAAGAAGACGCGCCTCTTGGAATTCAGTGTTGGATAATCTGGAAAAAAAATTATCAATGTGAAAAGCACAATTGTTACCAATTGGAGGGAAGGTAACACTGTTGAATTCGATACTATCAAGTATCCCAATATACACCATGTCCTTCTTCAAGGCACCGGTCAAGATCATTAATGATATTATCAAAATTAAGAATAGATTTCTCTGGTGCGGTAAGGAAGATAAAAGATGCATTAGTTGGGTGAGTTGGAAAAACATCTGTAGGACCAAAGAAGAAGGTGGACTCAATATAAGGCATACAAAATACTTTAATGAAGCATTAATATGTAAATGGAAGTGGAGAATTTTGGTTGTAGAAGACACTACATTGAAACAAATTTTGAGTGTTAGTGGGGATTTGCAACACTCTGATGTTTGGAATTGATGCTAAGAAGACCAAAAAATTTCATCCTGGTGGAAGGATGTAATCTTTGCTAGCACCCTTAAATCTAACTATGACTATTTTATAGGTGGCATTTTTGCTAAATTAGGCGCATGAGACAACATTATTTTCTGGCACAGCAGGTGAATTGGGAAGGCTCCACTCAAAAACCTTTTCTCAAACCTGTTTAGAATATCTGGAAAACCATTGGGAAAGATTTGCAAGATGGGTGGCTGGCAGGATAATTGTTGGACGTGGAACCTGCACATTGATGCAGATTTGTTGCTCAACGACCCGATTGGAACAGCGGAAGCGTTTGGCATAATTGAACTGCTAACAAATATCAGTCCCATAGTGGATGCGATCGATAATATAAGATGGTGGCCGAATAAAGATGGTATTTTCAACGTGAAAAGTTGCTATAATTTAATCCGAGACCGTGAGTTGGAAGACGTCGTGGAAAGTGAATCGAAGCTAGCACTCAAGATGATTTGGAAGACTAATATCCAATCAAAATTGAAGGTTTTTGGATGGAGGGTGGTGCTCAATAGACTCCCCACAAAAGATCAATTGGTGAAAAGGGGGATAATTCGAGACGAACATGAAGAGGTATGTGTTTTCTGTGATGAAAAGCCTGAAGACTTAGAACATCTTTTATTCAAATGCAAAATTAGCCAAATAGTATGGACTAGCATATATGGTTGTTTGGATATTAAGGAGATGGAGGATCATGTTGGGGTGTGTCATCTTAAAAAATTTACTCAAGCTTTAGTGGGGAAGATAAAAAATAAGAAACTTTGCTTAATATGGTTGACAATATTGTGGACATTATGGAATTGGAGAAACAACATCATTTTCAAAGGAGAGGTGTGTGTGCTTGATGATATGATTATGAACATTAAATATGGATTGGTTGTGGCACATCATTTACAATAAAGGAAATTCTTGCACCACTATGTATAAATGGTTACAGTCGCCTTTAGATTATCTAAAGTTTGATTAAGATATTTGTAATGGATTTGAGTACCACTTGTACTCATATTAATAATATTTGTTTATTAACAAAAAAAAAGGTTGGATTTTTTTAAATAGGGGCTAAAACGTTAAAAGTATTTAAAAAAAAAAGACCAAAACTACATTTAAACTTACATTCTTTTAAAAATATTTTCAACATAATTTTAATTTTTATTTCAAGCGTCAAAGTGTAAATTCACTTTAATTTTGTCATACTCATTGTGATGCCAAATAAACAAGAAATGTATTAAAAAATTTCTGATAAGGAGGAAAGTATGGGTTAATATTTTCGGTTGAACTACTTAGAATTATTTGAAAACAACGTGTAGAGAGTATGAGTAGAAAAAGATTGAGTCAATAAAATATAAATTTACTTAACTATCCCATACATAATAATTCGTGATTCAATAAAATCAAAATTTCTTAAAAATCTATAACAATGTTAAGAGGTTAAGTCTAGGGTGATGGCTCACTTAAGTCTCTCGCCAATAAAACCCCAAAAAAATTAACCGATAGATCAAATGAATGACTTAGATCTAATATAAAAAAAATGAGAATATCTAAAATCAATTTCATGTAATTTTGTTTTACATATTATTACATCATTCTTACTTTTTTGTAAGAATTCTTAAATTTCAGTTTTTTCATCTCAAGCTTTTTTTTTTGTTAAATTACTGTAATGAAGCTTTTCAAACAAATGAATGCACATTTCCTTTTCAACCACAATTCACAACCTCTTATTCTTACTTTCATGTAAATTTCTTCAAACTTCTTCAATTCACCATACTCTGATCCACCGTGACAAAAACATTCGCAATAACCACTTTATTCGTTTGAATCACAACGCGATTATCCGACACATTCCTAATCACATGTCTAGGAAAACTCCTACCTGTTGAACTCAATGAGTACTGAACATTTTTAATAAGGTTAGGAAAAAGAAGAACATTGTTGAAATTAACATTCCATAAAGTTCCATTCCCTTGCATATACATTTTCGCAACCGTTGCCTTTAAACTCATTCCTCTTCCAATGTTCCTATCAACAATAACTTGATCAATGTGATGAAAAGGACTATTTGATTTATTCAAATGAACAATTTCAACACCTTGATTTTATCCAGAGAACATGTTGTCAACAATAGTAACACCATTTAAGACACCATTCATAGATTTCAACGCAATATTTGCATCACCCAAGAAGAAGCTACTAGAAATATGAAGTTGAACAGGATCTTCAGCAACAATACTAGTGTAATCCATGTAAGAATTCACAATTCTTATTTGTATTAAACCAGGAAATTTCAAATAATTCCCGGTCCCGCCGAATCCTGTGGCCTTATTGTAACAATGTACACTAGGAAATATGTTGGCTTGACCAGTAACCATGATTCCTATTTGAGCCGAGAAAATTACAACATCTGTGACAACGTTATCATTACCTTGGAGGTTTATCGCTGTTCCTGAGAAATTTCTTTTGGCTTTATCACCTCCCGCGGTTATGTGTTGGCCGACGAACGAGTTTCTTATGTATGTTTCATGACCACTTTGGACTAAAATTCTATTTGTTGTGAAATGTGTAATGTAATAATTGTCTATGTTTGTTCTGAGTGAGTTTATGACTAAAATGCTCCCTCCTCTAAAGTTTGAATCTAATAAAAGATCCTTGAGAGTTATGTACTCAAAATTGTAGGAATCCTTTTCATTAGAAGAGGTTGATGATAAATCAATAATGTAGCGATCTATAGGAAAATTATCTGAGGCTTTTAATGTTCCTCCATGTATCGGTTTTTAAAATCAATTTGACATGTCAAAAGGGTAGAATTAGCAAACATAAGAACTAGTCATATTCAATTTATTGTTCTAGTTAGACCAACTACTTCACCATCATGACTAAAATATGCTAAATTGAGACTACTTTGTCTAAAAAAATCAAATATAGCACATCCTTAAAGTCTTAAAACCTTGCCAATTGTCAAATAATGACAAGGGCTATGTAAAATTTGGTAGATGCTTTTCATATAGTCAAAAAATGACAATATTGAAGGATTTACAGCCCATGTGATCTTACCGGGATCGAGAGTTTTTATAGTTGTGCACAGAGATATACAATTTATATAAAAAAAAAGTATGGTGTATAAAGTAAGTTAGCAAATGAAATAGTTTCTATTTCTACATACCATGAGGTTACCAACGCAGGATACCAGAAGCATGAGTGACCGGCAGATCAAGTAATTACCACCTTCAAGATTAACTTGTGCACCTCCAAGGTTGGTGATGCCTTCCATCAAATGCCCTTCACTTAGAACATTAGTTGCATCTGCTATGGCTGCAAGGATATCTTCAGTACTATCTGAATTTCCTTTTGGGTCTGTACCATAAGATGTCACATGGAATACTCTTGGATTGTTCATACCCTACATGAGATGAATTAGTATCAAACATTTCATATTTTTACAAAACTTAGAACAAATCGTCTCAAATTTTTGGAGTTTTTGTGTAGATTAGTATGAGTTTCATCATTAAAAAAAATAAAGACCATATTTAACCACGTTTAAACATCATAAATATTTTATGAGCTCTATTTAATGCATATTTAATCGTGACAAATTTTAGGCCATGTGCGACTGGCCCTACAAATAAACAAAAACCAAAGCTCAATGTTGTGCATGATTGAATTTACCTCACTTGGTTGAGAAGAAGGTGAAGGACAAGGAGAGAAAGAAGGAGTTGAAGCGATGGAATCATGTCTTATTAAAGAGGCTTTCAATGACTGCAATCTACGTATTGTTTCATGATGGTTTCCATTAGAGAAATGATGTTTGTAAATTTAAACTTGGGTGTCAAATAGGTGTTCTTTGTGATTTTAGGATGTATTAATGTATATTTGAAATTCGTACAACTATATGATATTAAAAAGTAGGAAAGATAGAGATAATAGTATACAATTTGTATACGGTATCAAATACAATATCTAAATTTTTATGTTCAAATAACATAACTCATTTATTACGGTGAATTAGGCAAAAATATTAATTGGTGGATATATATTTATTGCTAAGGGAAATTTTAGTATTTTGATTTGAATTGTGAAAACTTATTTTAAGGTGCAGGATTTAAATAAAAATTGGCATTATGAAATTTTTTGGAGTTTTTTAATGTGGCAAGTTTTGTAGTGGGTGTGAGGGAAGGAGATATAGTAGTCATAAGAATCAGGACACCTCCTATTTGAATTTAATTGTGTATGTGAAAGAAAAGAAGGATGAGAAAATTTTGGATGACAATTTAATTTATTACGAGTAAATATCTATACTTTGATTCCTTAAAAAATGTGAAATTCAAATTAGTCATCTATAAAAAAGAAATTATCATTGGCTAAAAATAGTAATATTTAGTGTTTTTAAAAAATAAATCGAGTGAATACTGTCTCTAAATCAATATTTATCACTAAATTGTCTCGTGTTTTGTTAGCTCTCAAATTTTATGGAAATCCAAACATATTATTTCGCATCGTTCCATACATTATTCATACATCAGTCATAAACCAAAAATAATTTATAAATCAATCATTCAAGATGTTTATATCTATATTCAAATTAAAATATAATTATTGGGTATATCTAATAATCATGTTCCTCCTATGCCTCATATACGCCAGTGCAAATCGTGTCTTTGACAATATCACATTCAAAGTGACTCTCTCAATAGTGCCTTTCTGAAACTCTCATTTAGCTATGACATCTTTATCAACATGAACATTAAGGTGGCATATAGACAATACATCCACGATATGGTTCACCCTTGCATATTTCTCTTCTAGTATCACTTGACGAGTTGGCCTAACGGGGTCCCCTTTTGACACAAGAGTCATATAAGGATGAGACACTCTATAAAATTATTGGATATATTTGTATATCATACTCCATGGACGAGGAGATGGGATACTATGTACATCCTCTAGTACAAGATGCTCATGGTAGTCGACAAATGTCTCATCAACATCTCTACAAAGGACAATGGGAGGAGCAACAAATGTTCCTTAGGTATACCCTGCAGATACCAGAACTGTCACAATTCTCGCTCAAGTAGATACATGAGCATGTGAAGAAAATTTCTCAGCATCCCAAGATGATTCCCCAATTACTCACAAGGATTTAAATTTTGTTTCTTGTTCCATTTTTCTATAATCACACAAGACATATAATTTGCTAACATGATTAACAAACATAATTCTAAAAAGAATAACAAACATAAAAATACATACTTTTTTATCCGTAGTAGGGTTCGGATTTTGAAATCCAGATTTTCAAAGGAGTGAATACATATTTTGAAATCTGGATTTTAGCATATCAGTGAGAAACCCCAACCCACATTCTACAAACTAAATGCATAAAGATTGAAACGAAGGATGTAACCTAATGTAGCTTAACTAGTATTTATTGGATGTAGCATGCTCGGGGTTGGCCAAATGCCCAAATAGCTAAGGCCCACTTTGCCTCAAATCAACTTCACTTGATCTAAGATATAAAAGTTAGTCCATCCAATAAATAATATGCACTCTCTGATCTTCATTTCTTACTATACTCACCTTGAATCTTAAACTGACTTAAGTGTCATAGTGCTAACCATACAAGTCGACCCCGATCCGCCGTGACCAATATCAAAACCATCAATTTAAGACACCTAATTCATTAACTAATTCCATTTATGGTTCCTAAACAAAACACATGCGCCGTATTTGGGAAATGCTTCTAATTACTATGATTTCCATGATTTCAGATCTAGCCTCCGATTTACCATTTTGCAACCTCCTCAAGTAATAAAATCAAGAGTAATCAGGATCAGAAGCTAGGATCCATCACATTGGATCCAACAAGTTATCATTTTAACTATGATCCATCATATTTTTAGATCTATTATGAT